CCGACTCGATGCCGGTAGGTGGGGGTAAAAGTGGTGGGGCTGGATTCCGTGTTGCCGGGGAGCCAAATGTGCATCACTGGCCGAGCGAATGAAAAACGAGTGAAAAAATATATACGTTACGGTCGTATTCATTCACACTATTAACGAGCATTTATTGATGTTTCTGCGTTTTCACTTGTATTCCCTTTTTCAGTTATTGCTTCTTTTGACCTTTTGCTTCTACATATTCTCTTGTCAATCTCCACTATACATTGCAATGCACATAATTACAATTCGTAAAGCTTATTTGTTTTTTGATGTAACGATCACTTGAATTCAAATACATTTTGTGCATTCAATACTCGATTATTGTCAATATTATACAACAATGGCGTTTAGAAAACTGCTGCCTTGTTACGTCTGCGATGGGAGATTTACGCCTCGTCTAATGACCCGAATTGACGGAGATGACAATGCTGCCAAAAGAGAAATTGCCATCAATCGACGAGATGGATTTCAAAGACCGGCATTAGAAGTAACTGATTTGACAAAAATATGCACCAACTGTAACCAATCGATTCGTAATGAAATTGTTGCTATCGAGGAAGATCCTGCCTGTTTAAGACTAAATGTCTTAACACAGACGCGAAATAGCACTTGCCTTATATGTGATAGAACTGATAATTTGAACGTATTATCAATCGAATGTAAAGTGAATGTTTTTATATCACACAATATTTTCATTCCACAAAACACCAAGTCTTGTCAACATCATTTGAATGTCGAAGGTATGCTTCTCGGGCCGCTTGTCCAAGGTTTACGTTCCATCAACAGGCCATATGTAATCAGAGGTCTTTATCTTCAAGCTTTCTTACAAGGACTTCGCAATGTGGCAAATCAAGAAAAATCGATGAAAATAAGTATTTCGGTTAGTGAATTTCAATATCTATGTTCTATAAACAAACAACAGTTCGAAGAATTGTTCACTTTTTGTGATAAATTACCTTGTACTGGTGGTTACAGGTATGTAGATAAAAAGGACCTTCTTATGTTCTTATGTAAAATGCGCCAGGGTCTATCGGATGAGTTCCTCACAGTTATATTTCAGTACCCGAGTAGGCAAGCAACGAGTATGGCTGTTGCTACAGTGCGACAGTCTTTAATGCTTCGTGTTGTACCACTGAATATAGGATTCGACGCTATAACCAGACAAGATTATATCGATAGACATGTGACTGATTTGGCCAACGTATTATACAATGCAGAACCACAAACCTCTAGAGTAATTACATGCATTGATACGTATATGTATATAGAGAAAAGTAGTAATTTTAGAGCTCTTCGGCAGTCATATTGTGTTCACAAAGGTCGGCACTTAGTTAAACCAGTACTGATAGTTACTTCCCTGATGGATATATTTTAGATATCCAGGGGCCGTACTTTTCGGATAGTCGCAATAATGATACTACAGAATGAATTTGATGCAGATGCTGATCGGATGTTAAGATGGTTCCAAGAAGATGATATTGTCATTGTTAATAGAGGATACAGGGATGCCATTGGCCTTCTGAGGCGTTTGGGCATCACATGGAAAATGCCAGCGCTTCTTCCACCAAATCAATGTCAACTCAGCACCGATGATGCGAATGAATCCCGTCTTGTGACAAAGCAAAGGTGGATTGTCGAAGCGAGAAACGGACACATGAAGTTAATTTTCAAATTCCTACAGCAGACAATACCGATGCATCATGTTCCTAACCTTGGTGATTTTTGTAGGATAGCAGGTGCTATCTTAAATAGATATCATCCTACTATCGAAATGACAGGAGCTGATGCCGAAAAAGCTTATGAAATGCTTGAGAAAGCTAAAGAACCGAACACAGTATAAGCTCTAGTTGAGGTTGAAAATCTGAAGACCAGAAACGCTCAACGGTGGGTACCGATAAATGATGGACAATTATTAGACTTTCCAGTATTAGATATTGAATACCTAAAGATGTTAACTGTTGGCATTTATCAAATAAAACTAGCACCCTCATACGTGCAGGATAATGTACAACGAAACGACGATGAACAATTCCATATTGACATGCTACGGGACGTCTGCCACAACCGGGATTACTGAGAGTGAGAGTTTATTCTAGGTTTCGCAATGCAGCGAAATATCAACTTTGAATTGCGTATAGACCCAACGAAGATAACGAGGTAGATGATGGCATGGAAGGAAACATGAATGAGGAAGTTTCACCAATATTAGGTTATTATTGTACCTGTAAGTCTGGTGCTCGTACACTTGGTACTTGTGCACACATAAGCAGCATTTTGTGGTATTTGAGTTATGCTAGATACCAGGAAAACATTCACTACCCATCAACAAGACTCATCCAAACCGTCGCTGATGCAGGCAACCGACCACTTCCAAGAAATGATCATATGCCTTAAGTTTAAGTTGTAAACATACACTAAGATTAACAACTCAAACTTACTCATCACTATTGTAACGTGATCTCTACTTTGAGACACACACACACACACACACACGCACGCACGCACGCACTCACGTACGCACGCACGCACGCACCCACACACACATGCATACACAAACAGAAATACACGTGAGAGGCTAGGGGATTACTCACGTTAATCCAACACCCCGAAGGGATCAGTTACCTACTACGTCCATGTCGTTGATCCTGGGTGATGCCGAATGTAGGATACATACATACACATACACACGCACACGCATACGTGCGCGCGCGCACGCAGGCGATCGCTTACAGCGACTTTATGCGTACTTGATCTATTGCTGAGATCTATGAGTAACACAAATTCGCGCGCGCGCGCGCGCGTATGTGTGTGTATGTATCTGTGTGTGTGTGTGTTTGTGTGTTTATGCGGGATTCTTAAATGGTTGACACACACATACTAATCTACGCACATACAAAGAAATGATTGATGTTTAAAATAGGCTGTAGCCTTAAAATCTAAATTACCTATTTTTTTATTCTTTCGATTCGAATATCTCGGAAACTAGCCATTATTGATCCTTCATCCCATGAGAACATTTGATCAGGACCATTTTATTTACATCATATCAAAAGCCCAGCCAAATCGACTGGGATCTATTTCCCTTATGTTTTGTGCGTGGTCAATTTCGTCGATTACAGCGCCATCATGAATCGAGAAAAATGTTTCAGACAAATCGTATGTGCTTTTAGCCAAAGATTCCGAATATGCAATAAAAAATAGGGATTCCCATTTAAGATTTCAAACTTGCCGGGGCCTCACCGCCTAGGGGGCGGGGTGGGGGGGGGGGACTGATTTTAACGTCAGTGTATGTCACCCTCGGAATGATGAAATATTGATTCTTAACATTTTTTCTTAGTGTGCTTATTTTTCGAGATATTTGAAAGTTTCAGGTTAAAAAAATCACCCTGTATACAATGTAATCTAAACCATAGACTATTAGTTCACATTCTAAGATAGAATTTTTATTATAAATTCTATACAAAATGTTTGCAGCATCGCGTTTATTAGTAATACAATTTTCTCTTAAAAATGATACAAAATATTTGAATTTCTCACTAACACTATGCGTATATTGATTCAGTTCATAGAATACATGCTCGATACATTGCTCAAACTCAAATAAGAAGAGCATAGTTGTTGATTTTATGTACAAGCATGTACCATATAGGGGAAGCCCGGGCAAAATGGATGCCCTAGGCAAACCGAATACTTTTTATTTTCGCTTATCTATCAGAGATGGCGCTATGAATCTCCAGCTGTTGCAGGAATGACCGGCCGGCGACGCTATGTAAATACAAAACGCCATATAATTGCGATTGTTTACGTTTTATGTACAAATATACGAAATTGTGTGTTTTCTTACGATTTTCGCTTAGGTACGTAGCGTAATTATTAGCAATAATTGTTTCTTAACCAGTGTGAATGAATTTTTATAAGAATTCTCTGTCTTTAAACGTGCATTAGAGGTTAAAATTTTTCACTTGTTGTTGAAACTTATTCTAATTTTTCCTAATTTGCGCCAAGTAGGTTCTTTGGGCAAAGTGTGTGTGTGTGAGTGGGGGCAAAGCGAATAGCACACCTAGTATTTATGCGATTGCTAAAAATATCGGAAAGACGAAAGATCTTTCAAGTGAACGAGACAGGTTTGTTTATATCTTTTTTTTTCCGTAATATGATTGGATTCAAGAAGATTAAAGACCAGGAGGGTCAACTCGGTGCCAATAGCGGTAGAGGCAAAAAGTGGCGACGGATAACTTCCCCCACTCTTGCGCTTCATTAGTCCTCTCTGTCGCTCTATATAATTGTCGCTCTGTCGCTCTATAATCGTCGCTCTGTCGTTCTTATATCGAACTTTCACACAATGCGCAGTACCACTGCACATCGTGTGAATAGCCGCGGACGGTTTTTGACTCACCCCCACCACGCTGGATGACTCTCCTGGTCTCTAGTCTTCTTGGTTGGATTCCAAATTTACTGCTAGCACTAAAAATGCTATAGTTACGTGCACTATAGATTTTCAGTAGTGACAATCAATTTTGGAACACAGCCTATGATGATTTATTTCTGTATCATTGCATAGTAACTTTTTTTAAATCACACGACCTTTTAAATAATAACTGCAGACAATAAAGTCACAATAATTATAAAATTCCTTTTACGAACAATTTTAATATTTTAAATATGATATTGATTTTAATTTTTTCGATTTTATGATATCGAAAATATGATATTTTAGTTTTTCTTAAACTTTTCTTAATTTATAGTTTTTTTTTTCGTTTTAGGATGGTTTATCAGTACAAACGTAAAACAAATCAAGCAAAATGGACGGAGAGCAATCTAACGTGCTATGGATGCATTCATTGCCAAGAAAGAGACTATTACATCGGCAGCCAAAAAATATCAAATTCCATTTTCAACTTTACAACGGTATATAAACTCAGGAAGCTATAAAAAAAAGTTAGGAAGATTTACTGCAGTTTTTACCAAAGAGCATGAAAAAGAGTTGTTACTTGAAAGAGATGGATACTCTATTTTTCGGCCTGACTCGCATTGATTTCTTAGAACTAGTTTATAACTTTGCAAAAGCTAATAATATTCAGAACCCATTCAAGAACGGTAAGGCAGGTGATGATTCGTTTGCTCGCTTTAAGCTGAGACACCCTGATATTGTGCTGCGATCATCTGAGCCCACTTCTATCGCAAGAGCAACAGGTTTTAATAGACTACAGGTGGAACTATTTTATTCACTTTTGTGGGAGCAGATCGAAAAGTTTAATTTTGATGCGTCAACGATTTTCAACATGGATGAGACTGGCGTGAGGACCTCGACTTCCAAGCCATCAAAGGTTTTAAGTACGAAAGGAAAAAAACAAGTTGGCGTTATTAGTAGTGCTGAAAAAGGTCAATTGACAATTGTCATATGCTGTTGCAATGCTGTTAGTACATATGTTCCGCCATTTTTCATTTTTGCGCGAAAGCGGATGCAAGAACGGCTTTTAGATGATGCTTCTCCAGGTTCTAAAGCTGCTGTAAGCGATAATGGATGGATAAATGGAGAAATTTTCTCTTTATGACTCAAACATTTTGTTGAAGTGGTTCATCCAAATGAAAATCGGAAAATATTATTACTGCTTGACAACCACGAATCTCACAAACATTATCCAGCCTTGGAATTTGCATCGAAAAATCACGTTATTTTCGTCTCATTTGCTCCACATACAACTAATAAAATGCAGCCGCTAGATGTTGCTGTTCATGGACCCATAAAAAAGTATTTTGAACAAGAGGTAAACGCTTTTCAAAAAAATCACCCAGGAAGGATGATACGCCAGTATGACATTGGAAAACTTTTCGGAAAAGTTTACAGCAAAGGTGCTTTTATACAAAATGCTGTTCAAAGATTTAAAAAACCAGGAATTTGGCCCTATAATCCACATGTTTTTGGCGATGAAGACTATGCTCCATCATCAATGACAGACCGTCCATTAAAAGAAAATGTTCCAGAAAATATTGCACTGCCTCACGACAATATCACATTGGTTCGCGACGTTATCACACAGTCTCGCGACAATACTACACTACAATACAACATTGAAAAGACAGAAAATTCTGCGATGAGTCAAAAAGGCAATTGAGAGCTTATTCCTGTTTCAAGTAAGATCAATACCCATCATGGCTACACCAAAAACAGCTCGTAAAAATAAAAGACAAAAAGCACAAGTGTTGACGTCCACTCCCATAAAAAATGAGCAAATTCTTAAATTCCAAAAAGTTAATATCAGAAAAACGAAAATAGCTGAAATAGCTGGCCGTAGTGGTGTAAACAGAAAGCGAATTAAAAAAGAAAAGTCTGTTAATGATAAAGAGAGCGTACGTTACTTTTGTTTGGTGTGTTCTCAAGAATACATCGATCCACCATTCGAAGACTGGATCCAGTGCAATCGTGCACCAAATGGGCTCATGAAGGCTGCACAACATATAAAGGATTTGGCAGCTACTTTTGTCACGATTGCCAATATTAATTTTGATATTGTTTTATTTTATTCTCATTGCTCGAGTAATATTCGCTTTACCCAGGGGGGATTGGATAAAGCAGATAATTTTTCTTTTCTTACACTTTGAATTAAAATATATTGGGTATGGGAATAAGAGAGAGTTTCCGCCCATTGTAGAAAGATGTCGTTAGTAGCATTGCTTGTGTGTTTGATAGAACGCGGCAACACATGTGTTTGAAAGGTTTGTGTTCAAACTTTTGAGCCCAATAATTGACATTCGTTCGGAAGCGTAAAAAAGAGTAACATTTTTTGCGTTGAAGATGTCGGAATTTATCCCAAAAAAGCAACATTTGCGGGAAGTTTTACTCCATTATTTTATTTTAAAGAAAAGTGCTGCAGAATCGCATCGTTTGCTCGTAGATGTTTACGGTGAGCATACTCCATCGAAAACCAGTTGTAAAGAATGGTTTCGGCGATTCAACAGTGGTGATTTTGACGTGCGTGACAAAGAACGCGAAGGTG